TTAGTGCTACACAAGTGCATTTTCTACGCTTCCTTTCAGCTCTGAACCACAATAAGGTAATAGTTTTTTGTTTGTTCACTTGTTGTTTTTTAAATAACACAAGTAGAAAATGGTAGTCTTAGGAAATCAACTGAGTTTCCAGAATATTCTATTTAAGACTCACAGAATGGTAGGTGTTAGAAATGGACCACTGGAGATCATCAAGTTCAAACCCTTGCTAAAACAAGTTCTGTCTTTTCCTATTTTTACCTATCCATATTAAATTTCTTAATATGAATAATACATATTTACTAAAGTAATAATTTAATATAATAATTTAATAAAATAATAAAACATAAAGCCACAGTGCAACTATTCATCACCTACCAATCAGTGCACAACACAAATGCAACACCCCACTGGCAATGGAGGTCTCTGAGAAATCACACAGCAGTTCAAGTTTTATTACATTCTGTGTGGTGTCAAACTGTATGGAATAATCCCCCCTCCTAATTCAGGCACCTGTTCTGGCTTCACCCCACATCATGGTCACAGCTCTGCCCTGCACTTGGCCCCAGGTGCACTCCCATCACTCAGCAATGACCAAATATCTGTGTGCTATTATCACTTCTACAGCTGAAACCAGGCTTTTATTTATTTATTTATTTATTTAACCCTCCTCTCCCCCCAGTAAGTAAATTGAATTTACATTCCTGGATTTGGGATATCCCTGCTTTTGGCATCCTGTTTTAAATTCAGTTACATCGTACTGTATCACTTGAAATTACACAGCAATTTGTTTAAATATTCTGGCATTGAAGGGATTTTAATTGAGATGTCTGTACACTGAAATCCTGCCATGGAACAAAACAAGCTCTAATCTTTCGGGGTTCTACACAATCAAGTTAAATGCCAATACTGACATTTGATGTGGTTAAACAGGCTGCTGTATCTTTATAAAGTGTCTGTACAGCAACACAGGTTGTTTCAGTGGAGGAAGATGGTGCTAATGTTTGCACCAAGTCTGAGAATAATCTCTTTTATCCTCCAAGACAAGATTTTTTTCTAACACTGGCATCAAAGGGAGAGCTGATGCAACCCCAGAACTGTGTGCCCAGGTGGCCAAGAGGGCCAACGGCATCCTGGCCTGCATTAGAAATAGTGTGGCCAGCAGGAGCAGGGAGGTGATCATCCCCCTGTACTCAGCACTGGTGAGGCCGCACCTCGAGTATTGCGTTCAGTTTTGGGCCCCTCACTACAGGAAAGATGTTGAGGCCCTGGAGCGTGTCCAGAGAAGGGCAACGAAACTGGTGAGGGGTCTGGAGCACAAGTCTTATGAGGAGCGGCTGAGGGAGCTGGGCTTGTTCAGTCTGGAGAAGAGGAGGCTCAGGGGAGACCTCATTGCACTTTACAACTTCCTAAAGGGAGGTTGTAATGAAAAAGGATCTGGCCTCTTCTACCAGGCAAATAGTAGGACCCGAGGAAACGGCCAGAAGTTGTACCAAAGGAGGTTTAGATTGGACATTAGGAGAAACTTTTTCTCTCAGAGGGTGGTCAGGCACTGGAATGGCTGCCCAGGGAGGTGGTGGAGTCACCATTCCTGGCAGTGTTCAAGAGGCTCCTGGATGAGGAGCTGCGAGAGATGGTTTAGTAGCTTGTGGCACTGGGAATGGGAGGGTGGTTGGACTAGATGATCTTGCAGGTCATTTCCAACCTTGCGATTCTATGATTCTATGATTCAAGCTACCACATAAACATTGCTATTAACTTCTCCTCTGATAAAGTCAGTAATATATTGAAATTAAATTACATAGTGCTGTCTCTTTACACAGTGTGTCACAGAGAACATCATCATCACATGGATTCTTTCTGCAAAAGAAACAATAGTAGTCACAAAGAAATATTTCAAAGAAATGAATATTATGTACTTGATATAGATTATATACCTGGTTAAGTACCCAATATAGATTGTCATCTACATTGATGTTTGATGGTAGATGAAAAACTTTCTAGAAGTCAAAGGAGTGGAAAATGTCAAGGACTTATCAAGGCTTTTATTAGAATTTGCCAGTACCTGATAATGGTTGAAAGTTGAACAAAAAAATTCTGTTTATTGCACATTTCCTAGTAGTAAAATTGTTTATTGGAAAAAAACGATTGAGGGGAAAAGCTAGGAGAGGTGTGAAATATTTTTTGTTCATGGCATAGGAGCAGAGCTAAGAAAGTATGCTTTGACTTGGTTTTCTGACTGACTCAACCTGTAAAAACTTGGATACATCTTGCCACCTCTTCATCCTTTCTATCCACAAAATATGTCTCTTCACTGTAATTTTTCTGTGCTTCCCTGTTTCACTTCCATCTCTTGCCTGGATGACTACTTTCTGGAGTCAAACAGCATCCCTTCAAACATGAACGCAGAAGAGCCCGGAGATTTTATATGCAGGTACACAAATACATGACAAGCTGGTGGCTTTTATTCATTGTCAGCAATAGCTGAGAGGGTCTGTAGTAGACAAGCCACTGTTCTATATTCTATTAATCTTCTACTTGTCCTTACTATACTTTCTCACTCCCCAGGTCTTCTTTATTCCCTGCTATGTCTTCCTTCTACCTCTTCTTCCTGTGATACATTAAAAACATCCATCACTTTTATGTTCAATGCTCAGCTTCATTTTGAAATGCCTGTCAACCAGGAAAAGTACACACAGCTTGTGGGGATATGGTACATGAGGAAACTCACTACCATTAGGATAAGCATTTGTATCAAGAAGGAAAAGTTGATAAGCAGTCTTGTCTAAATAGCTGATGGTGAGAACGACAGAAAATATTTCAAATAGCTAAGAGCTGGACTGTGTTACACTGAAAATAAGGAATTCAGGGATAGGAACAGCGTGAGGAAGGAGACCATTTGTGCGTAGGGCTAGTTGAGAGTGTTTTTAACAAGTAACAGAGTAAAACGCTGCTATTACAACAACATCAGAGTAGGATATTTTTTAATTTAGTAGATTTTCATAATCCATCAGCTACCCAAGATATCATAACAAATATAATCCAGATTTATATCAACAATGGAAAATAGCAATGGAAAATTTATTTGCTGAGATTTGTCTTTTGACATGATAGTGTTTGAGTCAAGATCTTAATTTGTATTCCATTTAAATGCCTGCAAACTAACTGGAATGATCATGGTATAGCAGTTATTTTATTGCCCAGGAAGTCATTTTCGCAATCTTTTTCTTTCTTCTTTTTTTTTTTTTTTTTTTTTTTTCTTTCTGGATGTTAAAATAACAGCATGATGTACAACACATACATTACTTTACATGTTTAAGATAACAGCCTTGTCTTTATTCAGGTCCTCAAATCTATCATTAAGAGCCAAAACAATAGTAACTTAGTTTTTTCAGAAAAACTGTGAACCCAGAGATACCACCTAAGTCACTAAGACTTGCAAATTCTCAGAAAGCCTTCTGATCAGACAGTTTGCAATGAAGAGAAAAATGTGACTTTAGGAACTTAACAGTAACTACTAACAATGGATGAAAATCCAAATTGGCTAGCTCTAAGAAATGAAGTTGGATTGCTAGTATCCTGAAAAGATCTTAGGAATGAAATATAAGAGAAGGATTTGTCGATGAATCATGTTAAGAACTTCTTAACACAAGTACTGTTGTCTTTTGAATTTTGCTGCATCTTACAAGGAAAAGCAAAGTTACTGTGTATGTTTAGATGAAACAAGATTTGACTTTTTCAGAAAAAGAAATACCTCTGTTTGTTTGTTTGTTTTGTACCAGCATCTGTCCCTTCTTCACAAATGAATTCTTGAGAAACTGAAGAAAGCCCTAGAGGTGTAGCACATGTATACCAGTGTATAAACACATATACTGGTGTACATACATGCTCCTTGTTTAATATTTGTCTTTTAAGCCCTTGCCGATACTTCATGTGTCCTCAGAAAAATTCAAACTATGAACATTTTTTTCTGTTTTTGCTACTCTGCCACTCATGTTAAAAGCTGATTTGTGGGTTCTAAAAATAACCAGCAAGAGGCAATAAACCTGTGCCAAATATAACTGCCATTCTATCATAAGTTTGTGAGCTTAGTGTTATTTTTACATGAAAGCCTGGCTGAGTCAGAAAGACACAAGTAATTAGGGGAAGGTTCTTTTTTTTTCTGGCAAGACCAGTGAGAAATCTTTCTGTAGAACATATAATGAAGTTCCTCATTAAATGGTTTGTATTATCCCATCTCATTTTGGAAAAAGCAGTTTAAGTAAATCTGTAGTTTTGTGGTCTTTAACTGTGGTAATCCTGCCAGGAACAGGATGTGTAAGGAGAAGGGACTGAGAAGAATAGGGACTACCACATGATTGCAAACAGAGAGCAGGCATTTCTGGATGGATTTGATTCAATTCTATAGCTTAATATGATCAAGATAGTTCAATAATCATTTTCCTGGGGTCCTCCTTGCTCCCTTTCTTGTAAATGGGAGTGACGTGACCCTTCCTCCAGTCATCTGAGACCTCACCTGACAGCCACAACTTTTCAAATATGATGGAGAGCGGCTCGGCAACCACCTCAGCCAGCTCCTTCAGAACCCTGGGATGCACGCCATCCCATAGACTTGAACACATTCAGTCTCATGAGGCGGTCTCAGACTTGCTCTGCCCATACAGTGGGGGGGGGGGGATTGACCTCCCCGATCCCCACCTACAGGTTTAGGGATGCAGGGCTCTGAGGTGTGAGAAATATTAGAATCCTAATATATAAGATTTTCACATCCAGAATATGTGTTCACACATATATTAGATACAGTGGTCAATATATCAGAAAAAAAATTATCTAATGCATTTTGTCTTTCACTTTCTCTCTGCTATTCAGAGGATTATCACTTCACCCTTTGCCCATACCATTTCCCACAGAAGAGATTACCAAATTCACAGCAATATATTCCATAGTTTATATAAGAAAGAAACAGGAAATCAACTTTTGAATGTTTTTTCTAAACAACTTTATTCTTTACCTTTGTAATTTACTCAATTTCTGCTGCATTATTAATAATGTTTGCATATTTTCAAAATGAAAAACCTGCAAAGTAAACAAAGCATTGGATGATCCATGCAACTTTCCAATTATATTAATGTTAAATTAATGCAGGAGTTTATTTCTTCATGTAACATGACATCATGGTCAATTGTTTTTCTTGAATAGTCTTGTCTTTGCCAACTCTTTTATTCTGCCTGTACTTGAATAATCTGTTAAAGCAAAAACGGGTTTAGAAAATAAATTCAAATCTCAATTTTTTTCAGTCGGATTGGAAAACAGTGTGTGCTAATATAACTCTATTTGTATCATACAGAACTTCTCATCAGCAGCTCTGAAAGTATTTCGTACATGAGGAAAGTGGCTACAAAGTGATTTCCCTATAGGCGCTTAGCAAGACTATTGCAGTGTGAAAAGTAGATTCCAAGTCCGTAAAATCATTTTCTTGTGCTGCCCTAACTAACTAAGAATCTTGTTGGTTTTTTTTTGAGACAAATTCAATTTGACAAGGATGTATACATTGAAAATAAATTACAACATACTTGAATGATGAAAGTGATTCTCTTTGTTAATGAAAAAACACAACAAAATTACTAAGTGGAAGCTAGGCAACGTATTACAAAGTTATTAGAGATATCAGAAGTGACCTCAGACTGCTAAGATATGCACTTTATATACACTTGACCATAACATCTTCTGTTCATGTGTTTGAAGGGAATGAGCCCATTAATTCCCTCCTGTCTTCAACTTAAAATAGCATTTAAAATTAGGAAATCAGTGACTTGTTGATTGCTTTTATGTTTCTCAGTGAATTCATATGTCTGGTGTTTTAAGATCCCAGCTTTGACATTCTATTTCTTTTTTTTTTTCCCATTTGTTTTTCTTTTACTAATACTTAGGATAAAAAATACTCTTCTTCTCTATCTCTGTTTTCTTAATGTATATATATTTTACTATCTCTGCAAGATCTCTGCTTTTGATCACATTCAAATGTGTAGTTCACTAAAAAGACAGCGTTCTCACTAAATCCTTAATGACTAAATAAAACAAAAGGAAGACAGCAAACAAGTAAAATGAAACATGCCCCATCAAGATTTTAAAGATGATCAATGATTTTAAAGATGTAGTAAAAATGGCTAAAGCTCAGTTTCCTGATTTGTGTTGTATTCAACCTTCAGAAGGGAAGTATTTCAGACAATCTTGATTATTGATTTTTTTTTTTAATTTTTTCCCTTTTAATGTCTTAGTAACATGATCACTGCAAGAAATCAGCTATAGATATGTGCATGTATAATATGATGTAGGCAGCCTGTTCTGTTTTGTATGTGCACAGAATCACAGAATCACCGAGGTTGGAAAAGACCTCCAAAGTTATCTAGTCCAACTGTCTACCTACCACCAGTATTTCCCCACTAAACTGTATCCCTTAGTACAACACCTAAATGTTTCTTGAACAACTCTAGGGACTAATTCCTCAACATGGTGGAAATATCTGCACATCATCTTGAAAAGACTCTGAGAACATCCCCGATCAAATTTGCTGAAACATGTCTTCAGGAGCATGAGGGATCACATGAGCCTAGATGGCAGCTTATTAATCACCCAGAAGATGAGGTAATCAGATAGACAAGGCATAGAGGTCAACACAAAGCAGTTTGCATACACAAGCTTACTTTTGAAGTAAGTCTTTGTAAGAGATATATACATAGCAAACTGTTCTGTTATATACATAGCAAATTGTTTGACCTCTTTTGAGACAAAGAAAGATACCTGAACACAACTGTTACTTTAGCGGTATAATATATATAATAGCTGCAATAGCTATCAGGTGAAAGCCTTACAGTGAGTAATCCTTGAGCATATTGACTAAATTGTGAGACCAGAAGCCTTAATATCACAGTTTTGTAGAGGAAGAAATAAAGTGTTCATTACATTAACAGGACTTAAATCCAAAATTCCTGTTTCAAAGCTCCTTTTATAGCCAAAGAAATCTTTTGTCTTTATCCTATTTACAGACTTTTTAAGGACAGAGTGTTCTGTATCAATATTTTGTAAAGTAGAAAGCATCTATTAAAATTACCCTTTTATATTACAGTTAGGATCTCTTTAGAATAACTGTGCCCTGACACAATTAATTAAGTCAGAAACGGTTACTGTAAAAATCTCAACTCAATTTGTCCTAAAGCAAGTTCGTAAACTGAATCCTTTCCATGAAATCACTACAAATATTTTACTAGATGAAAATCTCAGTTAACAAAGAATAAGCTCTTACAACACAAGTAGCTCTCAATTTCTTACCTGTATAATTACATGATATGTCAAATCATCTGATCTGGTTACCTTAACTATTGATTTTGTTCAGGAGCTGGTAAAAAAAAAAATATAATAATTATTCATAAGTATCAGCGCAGATGATAAAACAGTATAATACTCTACTGTTGAATAGAGCATTGATCATCCCAAAACCTCAGTGAGCAACAGTCCTGTAATTAGACGGAATAATAAAAACCTCCCATAGGCTGGTGGAACTATTTGGACTTTCTTTTTTCCTGAAAACCCAGAAATAAATATCAGAAATAAACTATTGTTTCCAATACAAGGATCAACCCTACTCCAGAAGTACAATGTAAGTGTATCTCACACTTATCAAAAAGTATTGATAATATGGAAAAAATATTGGAAATTAAAATAGTTTAAGTTTCTTTGTAGTAACTTCTGTAAATGGAATTATTTTCATGGCATTCTTGATGGCCTATTTTATTCATTCCAGCAACTTTGAACTGTAAAATTTCATAACTTAAATGCCATCATGTATGGAATCAATCATAATATAATTTTATATTTCTACTGTATTCTGTGTTCCAGTTTGCAATAAGATAGAGCTAATCTTGTGGAAGTGTATTTATTTCTGAAAATTACTTTCAGATTTGTGAAGTATGAGTTTATACAGTAATCTATCTTTAAAGCCTCAATTTGTGTCTGGCTAATATCTAATTTAGAAAAGCTTTAATAAAAATCTCACCCTGTTCTCTCTCAAATACGCTATCATTAAGTTTATGTTATCTTAATATTATAAAAACTAGATATAGATTATGGCTTATTTGGCAGAATTAAACCTATGCAAAAATCTGAAAATAGACAATTAGATCAAAGAAACCTAATTTGTGTTTGTAAAGAGCAAGCAATTAAAATTCCTTTCTTCTGCAAAGCAACGTCTTTTTGCATTTTTATCCACTACCTGTAGTTCCCTTTCCTATGTAAGCAAATATTACAACCCACAGAATTGCTGCAGTGTGTTCCTCTTTGAAATCACAAGGGTGTAGGCCACAGTTTCTACTGTTGCTGCAGAACCGAACATAAAATTCAGATGTTTTTAGATTACTTAGAGAAATTCAGTTTTCATATGTTTCATCCCTGCAAGGAGATGGGATATAATATTTTAAACTCTTATGTAATATTGACCAGTATAATTTATAAACATTAAAAAATGCAGTTAACTCCCCCCAAAATAAAGAATTTTAAAATATCTTTTTAAAACGCCTCACACCAGAGGCACAAAATCAACCCATCTTGTGTTACAGAGCAAATTTAAAGTAGAAGCTGGGAACAGAACTTAAATTGTTTTTACTGACTGTGACTTTATACAAAGATAACCCTCCTTCCTCTTAAAATGTCAATGTATTAATTATAGAGGAGGTACAGTCTGGAAGTATTTATGCAGATTCATGCACATAAATTTTATTTCATCAGATCACTGTTCAAAACCATATTTCCTCATGAAAAGACATTCTGGAAATTTACTTGCTCTTAGAGTAAAATCTCTGGTGGAGATCTATTAGTGAACAGTTGCTCCAGCAATATGGTTTACACATTTACAGCTTTATATTCAGTAAAGAGTATAATGACATCAGAGATGCAAGAAACCTCAATACCCTTCAAAAGAAATAAATAAAAAGAAAAAGAAATTGCAAAGGAAAAGGAAAAGGAAAAATTAAGGAAATAAAAGGAATTGAGTAAAAGAATTAGAAAGAAGAGCACACTGTCAGGACCACAGTTTTAAAAGAAAAAATGAATGTAAAAAAAAAAAAAAAAAAAAAAAAGACTTTTTATAATGAATGTACTGACATAGCACACAGTATATACATAGCTTAGCAAACTTGCTGTTACTGTTGAGAGAGATCTTTCAGCACAGACCCATAATATGGAAGAGCTTTGTACTCCACATTCAGCATCTCAGCTTGGTTACCCATTCTGCTGTCCATCATGCTATTCTGCAGCATTCTACCAAGGACTCTACATCCCTCATACTTCCTCCTCACAAGAGGCATTTTGAGGCCAGCAAGCTCCGCTCTCTAGCAACGTAACCCATTCCAAAGAAGCTGCCAGTGTTGCTAATTGAACTGTCACTGCTCCTGCTGTTCACATTATTTTATCCTGCCCCTAAAACCAGTGGGACAGGTTCTCCTTGTACACTGTAACTATGAAGAATTATTCTGCAAAAGAATAGAAAGAAACTAATGATGAGCTGGTAGCTATTCACTAGTAATGAATAAAACCTTTTAAATAAGAACACTGAAAAGCTTTCAATATTTTAAGTGGAGAGTGCAAAATCTATTCACTTTTCTATATTTGTGTTTGGGCTGTTCAAAACAGTGAAGAAAATCTGCAGTTTTCTCGTGTATTTGAAATAGTTTGTTCTTAAGTGAAAAATGACTGCTGCACTTCCCTTTAAAAAAAAACAACTCAAATTGTTCTGCCAGCCCAGCGTTGCTCCCTTTTTTTATGCTGTCAAACATTGCTTTCATGCACACCATGGGATAGAGGAAACCTCTCTATTTTAACTGTTCTCTTTTCAGGTTCAGTTTCAAGCCAAGAAGCTGCCTGGCATCATTTCTCCACTGCCTTCTTGAGCAGTAATTTCACAAGTAACCAAACCCAACCTACAGGATGGGATACAAAGTCCCATCAAGGCTCAAGGTTTTACTTTATAACACGTTCTTAGCTGCAGTTAGATGGGACATCAAGCCTTTGTAAATGAAATGGGCACCCAAAATATGTCAAATACATATATGTATTTGTTAGTTCCACTAATGCAAATGTCTTGACTACCATCATCTGGAATTGTAAAATATCAAAGCAATGAATTTTTTTGAGACAGTGGTTAATGTAATTTCTTGTTCATTATTTGGGGGAAAAAAAAAAAAAAAGACCTAAGAAGATGTTTTCTGACTGGAATATTTTCTGCAACATCAGGTATGATGTTATAATTACCATTTTTTTTCTCATAAGTATTTAACAAATTGCACCATGGAAGCTGGATTGCTATCCATCCATATTTGTCTATTTTATCATAACAACTCTCAAAAGGGCACTTATCTGAGGATATTCTGTATGACTATCTAAGTGTCTACTGAGTTGTGAATCAAAGACAAATGCTGAAGTGAACCAAATAACTGAAAAAACTGCTGAAACAGCAACTCAAACAGAATAAAAGAGAGGCTGGGGTGGTGCATAGCAAAGAGGACACCATTTGCTGTCACAGTGCAAATAGTGCTGCTGCTTCCTCTTCTTCTCTTATGTGGAATAGACTGCACAGAGTCATTCCATGTAAGCAAATCTTTTTTATAAGCCTAGGTCAAGCATGATCATTTGCTGAACATCATTTAGGCCCCTCATGGAAGCAGGTATAGAGTAGGAGGCTTTCTTTTCCCTGTGGAATAGAGGTAAGAAAATCTTATCAAATTTTGTCTCAGCCCAATGACAACAAAAGGCACGACTGCAAAAAAATACATCTTCTGGGTTTCTTGCCTTTCTTCATTCAATGTTCAACCCTTTTCTGTCTAAAGATATAGATTTTATCAGCCTTCCATTTATGAAGCACAATTTTCACAAAAAGTTATTTAATATATGTCAAACATCCTTAAGGGACACCAGTTGCCTTATGATTGACAGGCACTTTGTAAGGAAAGCCCACCGTGTGTTTTTTCAACAGGGGAAAAAAATGGTGCTCATTGAAACCAAATCTCCATACAAGGTATCTTTATGGGGAAGGTGACCAGAACGAATGCTTTTGTAAGCATTCTTTGGTATCTCTTGAATATTGCAAAAATTCAGAAGGCTACATATCTACCTCACTGTCTGAAGTTTATGGTTTGAAGCATGATTTAGTCTCATCTCTATGAATTAAAACCACAAGTAACATGCGCTACAGATGAAAACTACTAAAGAAATCTAAGTGCTTGAGATGAATCATGAAACTGTATATAAATTGACTGCCTTAAAACGGGAAAGAGGAAAAATATTCCCAAACAACATGACAGAAATAATTACAACGTTCTAACATGAACATCACCATATTCTTCATCCATCACTGAACAAACTAAGTATAAACTTCATATCTACCACATGTTAAAATAATCATTTGTAGCAATATGTCAAGACACAAGAATTAAAATTCTAGACTAGGTCATTGTCAATTATATTCTAAAAAGAAACTGAGAGTCTTTAATCTGTTTAAGCATACTACTGACAAAGTTTTCATCTGTTGCTCTGGTTGGCATCTTCTCTACTTGAAGTATTCCTTATACTTGGATTTTCAGTACACATCTCAGCTGTAAGACAAGCTGAAAGTCATTTAATTTTTTTGTAACAATACTTTATGTAGCAACACTTGAAAACAAATTTTACTTTTTGAGAGAACTACTATGTACAGCATGAAAACAATAAATTATTAAAAACAGTCCATTTTATGGCATGATACATTGCTAGTGTTTGACTAAGATAACTGAGAAAAGGGAGGGGATAAAATTGCTTTTAATTACAGAACACCTTGAACCACCATGAGTTATGGACCACTTCATATTAATGAAAGGTAGAAGGAAAGATACAGTATACCTGCAATATATATATATACATATATTCTATGAATCAGGCCTCAGTAAACAGAAAATCTTTAAACTCTGGTTGCATCATTATATTCACTTCCTAGATTTTTTGTAAAATCTTTCTCTGTAAAATACAAAGAAGCATGAAGGAACAGTATAAAGTATATACTTCTTGCTGGTGGAAAGGATGTTTTAAATCAGTTTAAAGCTATTTAATCTCCTAAATGGATTACCCATAACAGACAACTAAACTTCATACTAGTTTGAGACAAAAATTGTTTTATCTTCTTACTTAATAGTCTTGAAGCATAAAATGTCTTAAATAAATTTCACTGAAAAACGGCATGCAGATGTTGCAGGATCCCTGTTGACACATAATTTCAGTGCAAGTAATTTGGAACATCTTTTACAATTCTGCATTGCCTGGGCATAGGCTATATTTCTGTAGACCTTAGATCTCTCTTTTTTTCTTGAGCACTAT